AACCAGCCCATCTCATGACTGCTTGTCATAATTGCATTGCCTATCTAAAGTACAAGTAAGCTTTTATCCACTCCGTTAAAAAATACATTCAAGATGGTAAAACGATGAGCTGTGTAATTTCACACTTCAGTATCCAATCACTGAGGCGTTTTACCTGCTCCGATTCTGTGTCCAGTGATGGTAAGTGCCTCTGGTAGATTGAAGCCGTACATAAAGATCAGTGGGACTGATGGAGAGAGGTTTTGAGAGACTAATGGATGCACACCCGTGGTTATGTAATTGGGCTCTAATTCCAAGTCTGTTTAAACTAGCGGGGTTTTTCCATCAGCTTCATCAGAGTCAGGGTTTTAGGGAAGTTTGACTCTTATCTTTGGCAAAAACAGCAATGAAAAGATGTGTATTTTTATCCCGAGTTCGAGCAACAGAAGTTGTTCAGTTTCCTGTCTTCGTTAGTTTTGTTGTCAAACAACAAATACCACCCACACATGTACTTTCTCATACAATGAGGAAAACGTCACCACAGCCACCACTTCAGACTAGAAAGTCTGGCAAGGTGCCCAAAAGGTGAAAGTGATCAAATTGCAGATTGTTCATCAGCACTGGCACCGCTCAATGCTTATATGCTCTGCTCTGCAACGCTCTGCAGTTAGATGTCACCACCAGACCAGGAACTCTAAGCTGGGCACCACAGAACGCAACACACACTCTTTATTCACACTCTTTTTATTCACTTTCTATTTCCTGTTCAGTCTTTACAAATAAATACAAACACTAATAACAGTTTCTCTTTTAGTCCTCAGTCTCCTTCTGGCTGACCTCAAGGAATAGTCAAGCTGCTTGCTATTTTTAGTTAAGTCATTCAATAAATCACTTGAAAGTATTATGAATACTCAAGGTTAATGAAGAGAAAGCTAGTGGGCACTTTCTTACTGCGGAGAAAAAGTAACAAACACCATCCATGCTCGACCCACAGCAATGCTTACAGAGGGCTGAGCAGTGCAGAAACTGCTCAGGTTGGAAAAGACCTTCGAGATCAAGTCCAACTGCAACCTAACCATACTACCCTATCACTAACAACCCTCTGCTAAATCATGTCCCTGAGCACCACATCCAAATGGTTTTTAAACACATCCAGGGATGGTGATCAGCCCCCTGCCAGGGGTGCCTATTCCAGTGCTTAACAACCCCTTCTGTAAAGAAGTGTTTCCTGATATCCAACCTAAACTTACCCTGGAGCAACTTCAGGCCATTTCCCCTCATCCTGCCACCTGACATCAGTGAGAAGAGACCAACTCCCTCTCGCTGTAAGCACCTTTCAGGTATTGGAAGAGAGCAATAAGGTCTCCCATCAGTTTCCTTTTTCCCAGACTGAACAGCCCCAGTTCCTTCAGTCTCTCCTCGTAGGGCATGTTCTCCAAGCCCTTCACAAGCCTTGTTGCCCTTCTTTGGATCTGCTCCAGCACCTCAATGTCCTTTCTGTATTGAGGTGCCCCAAACTGAACACAGTACTCCAGGTAAGGCCTCACCAGAGGTGAATATAGGCACAGGATTACTTCCCTAGTCCTGCTCACCACACCATTCCTGATACAAGCCAGGATGCCATTGGCCTTCTTGGCCACCTGGGCCTTCTTGGCCACCTTCTAGGCCATACTAAAACTCATACAGTTTATCCTGGCCCATTGATCCAGTCCATCCAGGGCCCTCTGGTAGGGCATAAGTCTATGCAGCCATACTTCTCATGGGATGCGTTACACATACTGAGGACCACATCACGAAAAGCACTTTTTCAGTATTGAGTTTGCAGACACAAAGAGCAAGCAGCACACATCCACCAGCAGTAAACGCTGTGTCCCTGACAGCAACTCATGGTCACTCAAACCAACCTCACTGGGGGCTGAGAATGGTCCCACAAACATGGATTAGAGCTGCCAGTGGCTCCAGCACACCTCATTCATCACACATAGTTACACTTTGCTCACACAATTCCTTCTAAGGGCAAAGCGATTACCCTTGGTCAGTGTCCAAGAAACAACAAAAAAACGAACCGCACCAAAAATTCCCAGCAAATTGCTCCCGTTCATTCTTCATTGTGGGAGACTGAGGAAAAAGAATACCACCTTACAATTGCACCACTCTCATCCCTCCACTAATCCATACTACACACAAGCTTTTCTATTTGTAATAAAGAGGAAAAAGCCAAGTCTACCTGGGCAGTTTCCACCCAGTCACCAGCCAGGCTTTCAGTCAAAGTCTATATTTAGAAAAACACAATGGAGCTGCTGGTGTTAATAAATCTGTATTGTCTTAATTTGCTTATCCTCCACAGCCTATCAGTACCCATTTTTTTCTCTCTTCAACCCCACAGCAGCAAACAGAGCAGCACTGTGCTTGCCCTGCACAGCCCAGCATAGCAGGAGCCTGCTCCCAGGCCACGATGTGAGTTCTGTATTACACAGATATTTCTACAGAAGCAATTGTTCCTACCAATACTAGTCCCAGAGAAAACTGTTCATTCTTAGGTTAGCATGCAAGCTCCCAAAGTGCTTTTGAGACCTCTCCACCAGAAAGTGAAGTCACTATTTAATGACAAATTGCTTTTTGTAAATTGCCAGTTCAAATACGTTGGCATGCACACAGGAAAGCTAAATTAAATAGCACTCGACTAATCAAGCAACAAGTAGGTTTGTTCTGCCTGAGGTGAGCCTATAATCTGTTTAAAGAGTAAACGTGGACATTTGATTTAAAGGATGACAATGAATTCACACCTGGCTTTAGAAAGATGGTAGAGAAAAGAAGGTGAGAGAATTCAATGAAATAAAACAAAGCATGTAAATAAGGGGCAACTAACTTCTTCCAAAGTTAGAAGACTTTTCTTTCTCATCTAATCTCAAAAGGCTGGAGATCTAGATGCAGCCAAGGCACAAAACATGGATTACATAGTTTCACATACAAGATGAACTGGTGCAGACGGCACCTTGGTCTTGCTTGTTTTCTGACCCACATGAATGAATTGGTTCTGGCAGGATCAGCAATCTTGGCAATTTTGACACGGCCCTACAGGCTCAGAAGGTTTCCTGGGCTGTCCTCCTGCCAGCCACCGCTGGCCTGGTAAAGCATGCTCACACCTCTCCCAGCATCATGCTGGAGCAGCAGGGAAACAGGAAAGGAGAAAAAAGGGAGCCCTCTCCAGTGCCCAGCCTCTTCCCCTTGTGGCTACGCTGACATAAAGAAGCAATCTCTCCCTCCCCTTATTCCCTCTCTCTCATTTATTGTCTCTTTCCAGGACAGCAGAAATCCAAGATCAGTCTTTAGAAGCTGACCTCCAAAGGTCAACTCAGGAGGCAGACACCCCTCACCCTATGCCAGCTCTCCATTTGCCAGGGACCCAACTCTGTCTAACTGTGGGTGTGTCATGCCAGGCCATTACCCTCTCACAGTCCCATGATCAGTTCCCTGCGTTCACTTCTGGTCTGCTTCTCCCACTTTTAATCTGTCACTCCAAACTTCCTTGCAAGACCCTGAGTTTTATGCACGCCTATCCTATCAATCCCTAAAGAAATGCGTGGAAATAAAGACAACTTAATTTCTTTACCTGTTATTGTATTTTTCTTAGTTTACAGTACTTAGAAGTGTAAGTGCTGAAAGAAGAAATGAAGTGGGTCAGGAGAGGTAGAAATACTCTTCCAAAGCCGTAAGTGAGTGCATACCTAACTTAGGGAGCCACACAGCACTGCCAAGGACCTCAGAGTTTGTTGTGTATACCAACAGCAGCAATCTCATCTATGAAGCGGATTAACTTTCCAGGGAGGTAAATACACACAAGTATAACATTCTTGTACGAACATACAGACTGAATTAAGCGAGACAAATATCAGCTGCCTTAATGTATACTGATAGACAGATACTAACAGTGTGCTGTGGACTGGCAAAGGGAACCATGCATGCAGCCAGCCCAAGCTGCCCTCCCCAAACACTCTCCAGCACTAAGGGCCATGGCAGCCAAGAGCCCTGGTAAGCAGCAGCACGCCGCATGCGTGCCATCGTGCCTGGCTACCAAGTGAAGCGCTGAGGGCTCCGCAGCACTGAGCAGCCCAGAGGCCGGGATCACACCCATCACTGTGCGGCACTGGCTCATGGAACCCGGGCAGTCACTGTGTCTGGCTGTACCTATCCTGCTAGGACCGTGTGGCAGCCGTTCCTCTCCTTAGCTGTGCTTCTCCTGTGGGTATAGGGGAGACCACAGGATAATACAGCACAGCCACTCTGTCGCTCCTCCCCTCCTACTAAGTAAGACACTCTATAGAGAATTTTGAAAAAATAAAAATTCAGATGGATACAGCTTCAACTCTCAAGCACAATTATTTGTGATCCTCCCTGCATTCCTACCACGTGAATCCTCTACAAACCTGCACATGGACCTAACTGTTCTACCCTGCGTTATCCCAAGAGAAAACCCCCCCACAGCAAAGCACTCCTAACAAAATACCTGAACCAAAGCCCGCGGGATCCCAGCGTGAGGGCGTTCAGCAGGGCGCTCCCCATACAGCCCGACCGCGTACACCGGGACCGGCTGTGAACGGGGCCTGCGCTGCCCTCCGGCCCGCCCAACTTTTCGTTATTCCCCTCCCGAAGTCCCAGCCGGCTCCGACCCCCAGCGCCGCACACCGGGCAGCCCACACGCGCGGCGGCAACCCTCCGCCGGGAGCAGCACAGCACTCGGCCGGGCTCAGCCCCCTCCGCCGCCGCCCTCCCGCCGCGTTCCCTCCCAGGGACGCCCGCACCCCGTCGCCCTTCCGGCCCCGCTCCGGGAGCCCACGCACCGCTGCCGCTTTGTGCGGGACTTGTTGAGCGCCGGACGCGGGCGGAGGGGCCGCTCCCGCCGCATCCCGCCCCGGGGCACGGGCCCTGCCCGCCCCACGGCCGCCGCCGCCTCCTCCCACCGCCCTCCCGCCCGCCGGCAGCGGGGAGCGCGCGCTCCGGCCCGGCCCGCCCGGACGCACCTTGAGGCTCGCCCGGAGGGGGCCCTTGCCGTGGGCGCTCAGCGCCGGTGGTGGGCTCCCCAAGCCGCCTTCCTCCTCCTCCTCCTCTTCCTCCACCTCCACCACCACGTCCTCGTCTTCGTCCTCCTCCTCCACCGCGGCGGCCGAACCTTCCCGCCGGGGCGGCCTCCAGGCGCTCTCGGGCTTGGGGGGCCGAGCCCCGTCCGCCTGCGCGGCCGCCGGCCACGCGCTCAGCCGCCGGCTGCCCATGCTGGAGCGCTTGGCCAGGCGCCGCGCCTGCATCGTGCCCCGCCCGGCCCGGCCCGCTCAGCGCAGGCTGCGGGCGGCGGCCCCGCCGCGGGCGCGCAGCGGCAGCGCAGAGCCGAAGGGGCGGCGGCGGCGGCGCTCACCGGGGGGCGGCGGTGGGTGTGTGCGGCGGGTGCGCCGCGGCCATGGGGGCCCGGGGCGCGGCGAGGCGGGCCCGGAGCCGGCGCGGCTGCCCCGCAGCTCGCCCACCTGCTCCCGCCCGCCGCCCTGCCCTGCCCTGCCCTGCCCGGCCGGCCCGGCTGTCGGGCGCGGTGCGGGCTCCGCTCCCGCCGGCCCTTCCTCGCCGCCGCCGGTCCCCGGCACCAAAACCCGGACTGGATTCCCGCCGTCCGCGGGGCCGCGCTGCCCGGAGCCGCGGGCGGGTTCCCGTGCGTAGCGCCGCAGCCGCCCGCCGCCCACCTGCTGCGGCCCGGCCCGGCCCCGGCACCGCCCGCAGCCGGGGGGAGCGGCAGCCCTCGGTGTGTGGGACGGAGCTGGGGCGGCTCGGGCCTGGGCGGCGGTGACGGGAGCGCACCTCTCCTCGCGCGCGTCTGAAATGCAGGAACTGAACCTTGGGACACGAAAGACTTTAGAAAGAAATGTTTCAAAACGGAGAGTTTCGTGACATTGCAGTAACTACTGACGTTTCCTACAGGCTTCTCTACCACTTACTGACGTACCCTATTAAATTATAATTAGAATTGTTTCATCCTTTTCCTCACCATTTCTTCTTGGACTAAGTTTTGAGTCTTATTTGCTTGCTATTTCTGAGCCACATATATCTACATATATATATTCTCTCCCATTTACAAGCAAATCACAGTAATTCCATTTGCTGTGTTTAGTACCCGTCCCCACATGCATTTTGCTGTACAGAAACATTCACGTGCCACATGCACAAATAATGTACCAGCATGGAACCCAGCCTCCACGACTACTTTTGACAGTGACAAATTAACACAATGATTTTTATTCACTTTGGAATACGACACACAGTGCAGGCAGGAAATTATAGATAATACAATTACCATTCTTACAGAAATAATGAAAATGCTTTTCCTGTCTAACTAGGGAAGTTGTTTCAATTTTCTCCACCTGGCTTCACAAAACAGCCTCTTTCCCAGGTTTTCAGAGACAACGTATTTCTGGACAAGATCTGTAACAGATTCACTAGCAAATCCTACTGTACCTGGTTTTCCCATAGCATTTCCCCACACTTCTGGGCTTTCCAACCTTATTGGCTGCGCAGTGCTGGCTCAGTCGACCTTGCTGCAGAACAGCACACAGCTGTGGTGTGCTGCCACCAGCCCAGTGGCAATTCGTCCTCCTGAAGCTTCACGTGTGGCTGCAGCTGTCACAGCAGACGTGGCACCTGTTGAGAGGGTCCGCCCTGGTTTTATGAGGGTAACGATGGAAGGACAGAATTGTGGAGAAAAAAAAAAAACAGGGCAAACACTTCAGAGCTTTATTTCTGTGTTGAAGATACGATGAAAATTACACTTAAGGTTTGCCTTAAATTGTGGATTCCACCATGATTTTAAATGGCACTCTCAGTGCCTTCATGCTTGTGCCTCAAAGGCATAGGTCTCTAGAGACAGAATCATTCCATCACCTCACAGTATTCAAAGTATTTCATAGATCCTCAAATCATTTGAATAGCACCACAATCTAACTTTGATCTTCTGCAGTGGCCTATGTCCAGTTATCTAAACTATTACTGTGTTACTGAAGGTCTTGTTCCTACCTGGTATGTACTAGGGTGGATCCTGAAAGACTTCACTGAGTTTTTCCAAGGTCTGTATCTTTTAATTGTAGCAAAAGCAGAATAAAAAATAAGATGATAGACAAACCAAATGCATTATCTCAAAATTGGATGACATGTGCTAGCAGGAACACCCCAAGTAATAGCACAGAGCCCATAGAATCTCATGTAAAAAGCAGTGATTATATAGCTAGGCTTGCACAAACATCTTTGTTAACTTCAGTGAAACCTCACAGTCAGCCTGTATGTGCACTTTGCACTCAGACCTCTGGTCAGCTTACTTCCAAGGCACGGCTGACCTGATGCCTCTCGCTGAGATGTTTCAGTGCATGAGCACAAAGGATTGTTAACCAACAATCAGCCTTTCAGTTGTTTGTTCTGCAACAGTTGTTTCTACAGTTACTAACCAGGTTCTGTTTTGGGAGCATAGTGGCAGAAGAGAGAAAAGTCCTTAGGGATACACAGCAAAGACCAGGCCTGCCTGCCTGCCTGCCAGATGTGGTGTTTCTCCTTGTGCAGAGGTTGCTCCATCATCCAGCGCACCACCTCCTCCTCTCAGGACTCCATAGGCGATGGTCCTGCAGCTCTCTCAAGGCACAGCAGGAATGCAGACAAACCCTGGAAACACTGGGCAGGGTAAAGGGGAAGAGTGTCACCAAATCCCCGTGGGGGAAGAGGAGGCAAAATACTTTAGGGATTAGGAGGGAAAAGGAAGTCCAGAGTTCACTGGGCAGACAGGCAGGGCAATCCCAAGAAGGGGCTCAAAGAACACTGACTTTTGATCAGTCAGCTGAGCTGCTAATGCTTTTTACTCCTGCTGGGTTAGCACATGAGACAAGAAGCCAGTGTTGACAACTCTGTAACAGATCGGTTAAAAGACTTCTAGCACTTCCCAGGCGTGCCAGGTTGGAGCGGTAGTAATAACTTCTCTTACAGTACTTGATACAAACGATAGAAATGACTGAAATGTTCAATTTCTTCCAGTCTGTCTGACTTGCAGCATGAATAGAGCTGCAACTGAACCTGAATTGCCCTTTCAGCACTTCCCACAGGAGTTAACTTCTGAAGAAAGTTTTTCAAAGAACAGCGAGCCCTAGATACGGGACTCTGCAATATCTTTACCCTGCTACGTTCACAGACAGGAAAGAGGCAAACACAAACCATAATCCGCTATTGCCCATTACATTTTTTTCCCTTCAGACTCAGTCTTAGCACTTGAGATGAACTGCTGAACAATTCTGGCCCATAGCCACATCCTGCCACCTAGTAAAATCCTTGTGATACACAGGATAGTATGGTAACACTCAACTAAATAGTAATCTGCTGACTGGACTACAGCATAATACGCCTCTGACAGAACTGCAGGCTCTGGCCGTGGCAGTAACTGTTTACACGTCAATGATTTCCTAGCTTATTAAAAGTTAATGTGCACGTTGACACTCTCTTCATGTATACAGCTTTCCAAAACAGAAGAAATGTTTCAGGTGCTTCTGTGCGTCAAATCTTAGCAATCAGTTCACATTTCCAACGGAAGTAGTGAGTATCTCACCACAGAAAGCCATGAAAAACAGTTCCATCAACAGGTATCTTTCCTCCAGAAGTTATTCTAGAATTATCTGCAGAAGTCAATTACAAGCGTCAGCTTTCAGGCTGTACTGAATAATAGTCATTTAATTTCTTCCAGTAAATCCAGTGGGCAGCCCTATGCACCAGGCACAGGAAAATTCTGATTTTCCCTGGCACCGACACAAGTAGTCTACACTGATCAAAGTCCGGTGGAGTTTTCTTATTATATATACTTTTAACTTACATTTTATAGAGTCCACCTTTTACCTAAGTATTCTTCTTATATAATTATTTACTAAAATATTTGACATTTTGCTTTATTCAGCTTCTGCTACTTTATACCCTGATCGTGACTGCAAGCAAAGCTTGCCTGACACAAAGCTGGGGAGTCTATTCTGCTTGGAAAACCACAAGTTCCTCCTCAAGGCTTCAGGAAGGCACTGTTCTGTGACCACCTCATCTGCTGGTCCCAGACCTGTTACCATCAGGGCCATCAGTCAGCAGTGCAAGCTGCTAGCAGCACCAACCACTACTTGCTGCACACAGGCACTGGTAAGGGTGTGCTTGAGCAGGGCTGACAGCAGCAGTGTGCAGACATTCCACAGTGTATTTTGCTGGACTGCCTGTAATCCTCACCTTGGCATTCTGATTTCTTCTTCTTCCGCCCTCCCCCTGCTGCCCCCCTCTCCCACCCCCCCCCCCAAACCGTAAAGAAAGAATGCATTTCTTGGTTTATTTTCTTTAGTCTCTGAATAGTTTTGTCTGTTAATGCCAGCTTTTTCTTATCACTAGAGGCAAGATCCCCTCTGCTCCCACCTCCTCCCCAGACCAATGCTATGCTTCACTCCCTGGCCTTTAAAAAAGCCTAGCACCAATTGGTGCTAAGAAGCTCTCAATTTTCTGCTCACTTAATCACATTTTTCAAAACACAACCTGCTCAAGTAGTCACTTCTCATTTTTTAGTGTGCAACAAATCTATTTGTTTGAGCCTTAGTATTCAGACCAGCACGTGCACTAATCACGTGCATTCCACTTCTCTCATAATCCCAGGCATTTGAGACCCTGCCAACTTCTTTCTTTGGGAACCTGCCTTCTCCACACCCCCTTTCTAAACTTTGCATTTGTTTTGCTTTATAGTGATCACTGAAGTTCTCACTCCAGCTGGGAGGACAGTCAGGCACCTTCAAGAACAAGGGAATGATTGACAATATTAGGCGGAAAATTTTCTACCAGATGCTGCTTGAAAGGAGAGGTGGCAACCTTCTGACCCCCTTTTCAATGAGCACAATCATCGCTTCTGCGACATCCCTCTGCCCCAATCATCAATTGAGTGGGGAGCACAAGGTCACTTCTGTGTCTGGCTGTTGTGCAGTAAAATTCCACCCCGCAGACAGGGCTATGCTTTTTGCTTGAAGGAGGTTCCAATGCCAGCCATGTATTGGAATGAAGCAGCAAAATCCATCAGCTATTAAGCATCGCTCCTCTCGGTTACTGCTCTGAAACATTTATGAGTTCTGAATAAATCTTACCGGTCTGGAGAGGAATTCTGGATGTTCCATCCTTGGACTGTGAGGGAATGAATATTGATGAGAAAGGTATG